CCCGGTGCATGGAGCCTGCTTCTCCCTCTGCCTGTGTCTCTGCCTCTCTCTCTCTCTGTATGACTATCGTAAATAAATAAAAAAAAATTAAAAAAAAAAAAAACTAAAACTAAACAATATGCTAAGACAGGACAGTATATACACATTTTCTATGACCACTTAAAACCAATGTCTACTTCAACGTCAAGTTGCTCTTTGGTCCAGAGTTTCCCACATTCAAATACTAACACTGTTATGATTAACAACTAACATCAAAAATTTCATTCTAAAGGCATGAACTCAATGTGTGATTTGTCTATTTTAGAAGCAATGTTTTTACTTTCTGAATAGTTACAACTAATTCAAAGTATCCGGAGAAGATTAAAGTTATTTTCATAAAAAAAAGCCTAGTAATTTTGGTTAAGTATAACCCACACGTACAAAAGGAAAACAGAGTTACACTTCCCAAACATTCCCATAATCGCCCAAAATGAAAATGGTATAAAGTATAGGAGTAAATTTCTAAAGGTGTATAAATTCTGAAAATGAGCTTTCCCCAATGTCTCTGATCACTAAGGGCTCGAATTTTCATTGGTTTATTCAAAGAAAATGTATACACATTTTACAATTAAATAAAATATAAAATTTAGTTCCTCAGTTGCAATATAGCCCCATCTCAAGTATTTATAACAGCTACATCTAGCTAGTGGCTATGGTACTGAACAGTGCAGAAGTAGATCATTTCCTTCATGGCAGAGAGTTCCATTGGACAGCACTGGGTTTACATAATCCAAGATGAAAAATAAACCAAATGCCTATGCAGAGGTATCATCAGGTTTGAGAAATGGCTGAAACATCTGAGGATTCCTCTTGTGATACAGAGGGGGAAAAAAAAAGATCTGTGCTACAAGCTACTGCTTGAATAAAGAGAAAAAAACTGCAGTAAGATTGAGCTCGATTGTACGTTTCAGGGGACGGGGGTGTTGGTGGAAAGAAACCTGTTAGATTCGAGGATGTTCCTGTTTTATAGCTTCTCCCAGATGGTATCTGAGGCGCAGACAGAAACTAGCCTAGGGTCTCTTTCTCACTCTGCACACTCTTCAAACATTCTTGCCCACACATCTACAAGCTGGTAATATGAAAATGTCCATTTCCAACACAGATGGAACTCCTGCCTCCAGATCCATGAATCCAGCTCCCTTTACTCCATCTCTCTCTTCTTGGACTGTTTCAAAAGTGACTCATAACGTATCCAAACAAGGATGTATCATTTGCTGTCTCGCTGTCCCCAGTAAAGAATTTGGCTGGCCTCTGTCACCAGTTCCTGGGAGGTAGCCAGTGAATCCTCGAATTTCCCAAGTGAGAATAGTGTCTTTGTTGTTCACGGTGGGTTCATCAGGACCACATCTGACAGTCTGTTTTAAGGAGATGACTCAGGGTGGGGGCTGACGAAGCCAGAAAGACTAGCCATGTGATTAGAGAGCTGAGGCTTGGAGCCAGCTGATATTGGCCCATCCTTCGGGGAGGAAAGGGGGACTGGAGAGTGAATTCAATGTCGTGGCCAGTGATTCGATCAATCATACCTACATAAACTCCAGTAAAAACCCTGGACACCAGAGCTCGGGTGAGCTTTGTTGGTTGGCATACTCAACACATTGTCACATATCAATGTGTCAAGAGGACGATGTGTCCTAACTCCACAGGGAAAGGATCGTGGAAAGCCTGAGTTTGGGACCCTCCTGGACTCCCAATGAGTCTCTGCCTTTGGCTGGTTCTGGTTTATATCCTTTTGTCAGAAGAAAACTGGCAATCCTAAGGGTAAGGCCTTCCTGAGTTCCGTGAAGCATGCTAGCGAATTACTGACCCTGAGGAGATAGTGGGTGTCCCAAAATTTGTGGTGGTCAGAAGTGAGGGTAGCCTGAGGACCCCCTCACACTTGTAACTTGTGTCTAAAGTGAGGCCGTTTTGTGGCACACGGTGCCCTTAACCTGTCAAGTCCCGCTTACCTCTGGGTAGGAGGTGTCAGATCTGTTGCTCTCCAGATCTGTTCCTCCCACAGGCTCATTATCACAGTGAATGGCATATGGACCCATCCATTCAGCTGCTAATGGAAAGACAGCTGAGGACTCTTCCTTCTCAATCACCATCCACACAAATGAGGAATCCCTGTATCTTTCCAGGTCTATCTTCTAATAAGCTTTGCCTCTGTTCATTTCTCTCCAACACCTGGTCTTTTCTTCTCTGGTTCCATTCTCCTCTTTGCTCATAAAAGTCTGGCCCCATGTGCCTTCTCTCTGATACTCAGGTTGACAGGTTTTGTCCTACGTAAGGGCCTTTGTACTGGTTCCCTCTGCTTAAGAGGTTTTCCACGGACCTTAGCTTAACTGGTTGCTTCCCAGGATTTAGGTGTTGACATAGGTCTTATCTTTAAAATGGTCTGCTTTCCCACCCGATTCTAAGTATCCTCCCAATAACTATACCCTGTGTGGTTTCCAAAGAAGTACTTATTTTTTGTTAGTCTGTTTTCTCCCTCCTCATCAGAATTAAGTTCCATATGGTATTCAGAGGCTGTATTCTCCAGGCCTAGATTTGTGTCTGGCACACAGGACACATGCATTTACTGACATTCAGATATTACTGAATCCCCTGAATTGGATTTTCTTGGTGGCTTCCTCTCACTTTAGTGCTACTCCTCCTCAAATCCACTCTCCACACTGTAGCCAGAGCCATCTTTAAAAAACAATAAGATGATGGCACTTGTTCCTTCATGACCTGGCCTCTCTGTTTACCATCCCAGTAGATTCTCTCCTCATCTCCTCTCTAGCCAGACTGAACTACCTCCAACACCTTGAACGCTCTCAATGCTCTTGCCTCTCAAAGTTTCCGTGCACATCCCTTCCCTAGGACATTCACCTTTCTTCCCCAATTTGTCTGGTTAACCCTTCTCTTCCTTCAGGTCTCCTTAACCAGTACTTCCTCTAGAAAGCCTTCCCTGATCTTCCAAAGTTGGGTTGGGCTACCCCTGTTCTGTGCTCCCACCATATCTTATCCTACCCCCTGACGGTACTGACGTTGGATGGGCTGCCATTGTCTGCCTACCTGCCTGTACCCTCAAGAGTGTAAACTCCCTGAAGGCAGGGGCCTGGTTTTAGTCGGCTCTATTGCTATGACTGAGCACAGTACCCGCTGGCATGCTACCAGTGCTCAGTATGTATTTACGGAATTAATGTATGATACCGGAAAATCTGCTGGCAAACATATTAGTCTTTGTTACTCTTTCCACGTTCCCCATGGTAACACTGCCACAGAAAAGGAGCTCGATAAATACTCGGTAAAAGTATAATGCCTACTACAACCTGGCAAGATTTAAGAGAAAAATCCAAGGGCACTCAGGTTTCTTGAATGATGGGGTGTATTTATTTAAGGTTACTAGCAAGGCCAGTTAAAAACTTTAAGGAGCTAAAATTACTATTTGAAATTAAGTTCTGTGATCTCTTTCACTATCTTCTCCTTACTACACAGTTACTAGTATTTAATTTCAGCTAAATATCCACATGGGGGTATTTCAGTCTCTAGTCAAAAGACTTATGTGGATAGAAAAAGTAATACTTTTTAGTGCAAGGAAATCAGTTTATAAGCACTCCACTTTCAAGAAAAAAGATAAAATTTTTTCTTGACAAGGAAAACTACCCACTGTCCCTGAAGGATAAGAATTATCCTTTTACCATGATAATTTGTATGAAGGTATATATGCACACATACTATACCTATAGAGTAATATGACAGGTTTTTAAAATAAGCATATTAGAAGTTATTCCTCTAAATTAAATTTGTCATTCAAAGTAATCTCCCTTGGAGATTCAATCCAATAATGGAACCAAAGCTCAAAAAAATTTTGGAAAGCTCTTTGAGGACTGTTTTAGATTCTGTACAGACTTTTTTTTTGAATGTTCACATAGATGATAAATATCTGACCTCTGAAAGTGACTTTTACATTTATCAGCAACTAATCGTTAGAAACCATAGTAAATAAAATCAAAGATCATGACATTTTGGATCAAAACTAAATATATTTAGATGAAAAACACCAGTGATGTGTTAAGTTTCCTTGCATAAGTGATATGCTTGTCCTGAAAACAACAGCAAGTTAAAAGATACCTAGAAATGTTTAAGAGAGAAAAGGGGATAAGGAAATTGGGTGTTTAAGAAGTCATGAACCCCAAAAAGGGCAGCCCTGGTGGCGCAGCGGTTTAGCGCTGCCTGCAGCCCAGGGCCTGATCCTGGAGAACCAGGATCGAGTCCCATGTCAGGCTCTCTGCATGGAGCCTGCTTTTCCCTCTGCCTGTGTCTCTGCCTCTCTCTCTCTATGAATAAAAAAAAAAAAGAAGTCACGAACCCCCCCCCCCCCAAAAAAGTCACGGACCCTCCTGACAACGTGATGAAAATTATGGCTCCTTTCCTCAGAAAAATAGTGGCTTCCCCACCCTCTCACCACTGCATATATGATTAGAAAGGTATAACACACTGAGGTCATCTATGGAGACAGATTAAGACTTCATGGTTCAGAGCACTGGATTTTGGTTTCTTTTCTTTTTTACTGTACCCAACAGAAAAAAAATATCATACTGTGACCCAGTTTGCACATACGTACATATATTGTTACACAAATAATTCTCAACCCTAGTGTATGTGATAATAATCTCTGGCATCTTATTTTAACTAACAAAATTGTTACTCATGATTTACTGCATCAATTTCACAATGTATAAGGTGAAAAATACTAGTTCAGGGTAACTGCCGCATAACTGGAGCAAGTTAACGAAAATGAAAAAAAAATTCACTGATTACAAAAATTCTCATGTTATTTTAAACTAAAAAGGTCTTTTTATGCTATGTCCAAACCTTTTAAGACATTAGATTCTTTATATGGCAAAACTGCATTATCTTGGTCATTCATCTATATGGTGAACTACTGGAGATACTGATGAGCAAATCACACAACGGTCACAGGAACCCCATACCTTAATATTAGAAAACCATAAATCGTTTTCATGTAAAGTAGCCAAGTAGACCGATGTTAGAAGTCCAATGCAAAGGGCAACGGTTCCACCAACTGTAAATGACAGAAGTTTCCATAACCTTCTACTCGCACAACCTTTTAGAAAAATAAAACAAATAGCTAAGTCAGTAGAGAATGTGGAATTTACTAGTTCTACTTCAGATTATCAGGTATGCTAAGTTCCAGCTGCCTGTCACTGCTGAAGCTTCCCCTAGGCCCAGCAGACAAGTAGGGACTCTTTTCTGTGATTCTGGAGACTTGCTTTCATACTTTATTACAGTTTTTATGTGACTAATTGTTCACTTGTCCAGTTTGCCAGAGAGCATGAGCTTTCCGAGAAAAAGTACATTATCTTATTCATCTTAATATCTAGGGTCTGTGTTTGGCACAGTTTAATAACTGTACCTATTGAGTTCATTAAATGGAAGAGAAAACGGGTTGCATGTCTAGGATATAAAAAGTCTTTTCGATGGTCGACATATAATTTGTGGTGTATTCACTAAAAGCTACCAAAAAGCTTGACTACTTAAAATTCAAAAACACACATGGGGAGAAAAATCCATCACAACTCAAGTTAAAGGACACATAAGCTAGGAAAAATTATTTATTGCACATATAAGAAACTTTAATATCCTTAATATAGAGTGAACACTTTCAGGATTAAAGAAATGAATATTTCAGTTGGAAACAGATTTAACACATGAGTAGGCAATACACAAAAGAAAAAAATGGCCAATAAACTTAATAGACAAAACTATTCACGTTCATTGGTATTAAAGAAATGCAAATCGGGGTGCCTGAGTGGCTCAGTTGGTTGAACATCTGACTCTTGATTTCTCTGGCTCAGGTTATAATCTCAGGGATATGCATTGGGCCCTGTGCTGGCCAGTGAGCTTGCTCGGGATTTTCTCTCTTCCTCTCCCCCTCCTTCCCCACTTGCTCTCTCTCTCTTTCTCTCTCTCTCAAAAAAAGAAATGTGTGGGCGATCCCTGAGTGGCTCAGCGGTTCAGCGCCTGCCTTTGGCCCAGGGCGTGATCCTGGAGTCCCGGGATCGAGTCCCGCATCAGGCTCCCGGCATGGGGCCTTCTTCTCCCTCTGCCTGTGTTTCTGCCTTTCTCTCTCTCTATCATGAATAAATAAATAAAGTCTTTGAAAAAAAGAAAAAGGAAAGAAATGTGAATCAAAACAATGAACTATAACTTTTTAGATGTTGGCCAATTTAATGGCTTAAAAATGCTAACACTGTTTTAAATAAGGGTACAAAATAGGATTATTTTTCAAACACTGATGGTGGAAAAATAACTTGGAAACTCTCTGGAATGCAACATGGAAGTAGTAAAAAGCTACCAAAATGAGCATACCACTTGACCAATAATTCTAAATCTAGGCATAATAAAAGAAATAAAGTTTTAAACATCTGGCCACAAGGATTTTTATCATAGTTCTGTTAATATAGGTAAAGGGTTAAAAACCATCTAAATATTCAGCAAGGAATTAGGTAAATAAATTAGGCTATCATCACACAATGACTACATTGGTAACATTTTTAAAATACATGGACTTACTGTATGTTCATTACGTAACAAGAGGGATGTAGCAAGTTACAAAAGTTAGGATCTCAATTTTGTAAAACCACAGATGAATGCTTCCAGTTATACCCGGGCAGAGGCATTTAGATGCAAGATCAAGTTTCAGGAGTGGCAGTCTCAGGGTGGTTTGTGGGAACATTTTTTTTTTCTTTTCTTTTCAGGGTTTTTTTTTTTTTTTTTTCCAGACATAATACTACTTCAGTAAAATGAAGAATCCTCAAAATTATGTTTTAATTGAAAAAAAAAAAAAAAACAAATTTGAAGTTACATTGTTTAAGTCTTCAGAAAGTACTCTCTCCCGTCCCAAACTGCTAATAGTGGAGCTGGATGGCATGACCTCTCAATACAGATTAATTTTATTTTATAAAACTGTTCTCCCAGAGACACCTGGGTGGCTCCGCGGTTGAGCGTCTGCATTTGGCTCAGGGCGTGATCCTGGGGTCCCGGGATCGAGTCCCGCATTGGGCTCCCTGAGGAGCCTGCTTCTCCCTCTGCCTGTGTCTCTGCCTCTCTCTGTGTGTCTCTCATGAATAAATAAACAAAATCTTTTAAAAAATAAAATAAAAGTAAAATAAACTGTTCTCCCACATTACTAGTTCGAGCTGATAAGAATTAACATAGCTGCCATTAATGTAAAGTCTATCAATCAAAAATGGTTGATAGACATGGAATGTTTCATGCTTATCTTTAAAAACCTTGACCATGCTTAGTTCAGAAAGCGACTCTGGAGTCAGGAAGTTGGCAATTAAAATCATTTGATGTACAGCTTTCCAAGAATCTTCAGCCTTATATAAGCAACTTACCAAATTCTGATCATTCTCCCTCCCCAAACCAAAGGAGAAAATGTCAGGAATTCAAAAAAGGAATGAAAAAGCTTGATTCATTTTTCGATACCTTAATGAAATGAGAAAGTCTCCCGAGGCAAGGCTGTCTAGAGTGAATGGCATATACAAACCAGAAAAACTAGAAACAGACTAAAATCTGAACTGCGGGGGGGGGGGGGGGGGAGCATTATTCTAGAAAGTCAAAGATTGGCAAAACTGGAACCTACAGAACGGACAGCTGAGAAACAAGGGGTTCTTCTAATCGGAGCTCTTTCCTCTTTTATTCTGATCGTAACTATAAAAACAGTATTCTCAAATTGCCATCAGATCAATTGTTGAACCAAACATCAGGGCATTAGAGCAAGTTTCGTCAAGCGTTAGGTCTCGCCAAATTCTCACTCTATTGGAGAGTGATATTTTAATATGCAGAAATAAAAGCAATCCAAAGTGCTGCTTTTAATTTGAATCACCTACCAGATGGCAATTTATTTTCCAACTTCACATTGGCTTCTCGGGCCGCATAATCCTCAGAAACTTCTGTGGTTTTCACTCCTTTTCTTTGCCTGATGGATATCATGGTGTCAGAGACTTACACGCATTGTTCTTCCAACCACTCCTGCAAACGACAGAAAAGTGAAGCTGCGTGTCCACAGGCCAGTCCCCCGTCTCCCCAACACACCCTGTGCTCATCTGTGCTTAGGTGACACGATGCCTTGTCCCTCCCCGGGCTTAGCATGTGCTCCCGCTTCCCCATCGAATCTTAACCGGCCTCCAAAGTTACCGTCAAGATGCAACACACGTATTTACTTAATACATACTATCAAGAGTCAAGAATAGGGATGGGCATCCCAGACAAGCCGGTGGTGGTGACCTTCCTCCGAGAAGCCCTCCCGTCTTTGGCCGTGCCAGCTACTGATGTTTCTCCTTCCTGAGCCCCTGCAGTTAGTTACCACGCATCTGACCCCATAATCGATGCATCATGCAGCAGCTTTAGGTCCAGTGCACAGTTTCCTAGCACAGGGAGAGAGGAGCTCAGTAGTAAATCCGTGGACCGGCCTGACTTTGAAGGAGTGGAAAAAGACTTGTTTTGCCTCAGGTGCTTGCATTTAATACCGACGTCCTTTAAAAACAATGCACACGCCCCAGTGTGTGATGGCAGCGGGGGTGTGCCAATCAGGGCAGCTGCTATCCCGGGGAGCAAAAGTGGGAGTGAAGGCAGGGTGCAGGCGCCTGGTTTGGAAGCGGCGAGTGGGAGGCGAGGGAGCCGTGGCGGTGAGTAAGCTGGCTGCGGTCCCCCGGAACATCTTGCTTCGCTCCTCTGCATAATGAACAGCGTTTCCCTAATTACTATCAAATACGACCAGTCTCCGGGCACCGTGGTTTGGGGAGAGGGGGGGGGGCAGCATATTAATTCCCAAACGGAAACAACTTGCTTTAGGAAAAGAACCAACCAACCAACCAACCAACCGACGCTACACAATGTATTCGTTCATTCATTCGTGCGAAGCGTGGAAAAAAAGAAAGAAAGAAAAAAAAAAGTGAGATGCAAAAACGCAGCTGAGTGCGAGCCATGAAAGTGCGGGACCCCGGAGCAGCGAGCGGTGCAAGGCAGGACGCGCTCGGCCCCGCACGACCTCGACCCTGGGCAGGCGCTCGCGGAGGAGCCGCAAACTCCCGGCAACTTAGGGCCCGAGGGCGGCAGACACCGCTCCGCGCCCTCCGCCGCAACTGCGAACCCAAGTTCCGCCACCGGATGGGGGGCGTCGCCCCAACGTCCCAGGGGCGGGAGGGCCCGCTGCCCCCCCCCCCGCCCCGGGGCGCGCACCTGCTCGGCCTCCCGCCGCCCCCGCCGCCCCGGAGCCGCCGCGCGACCTCGAGGACTTGCCCCCGCCCCGCCCCGGCCCGGCCCGGCCCGGCCCGGCCGCGCGGTGCCCCGGTCCCACCCCCCCCCCCCCGCCCCGGGCCCGGTCCTCGCGGCCGATGCCCCCGCAGCACAGACCTGCGGCCTCGGCCGTCCTGGCGCGCGGCTCCGGGCGGGGAGGGAGGCCGGCCGGCCGCGGGGCGCCGAGGGCCGCGGGGGAGCAGGCGGCGGCCACGGGGCAGCGGCGGAGCTTGGCGCCGCACCCGACAACTGGGCGGCCGGGGGGCGTCCGCGGCCCCGAGGAAGGGGCGCGCCGGGGAGGCCGGGCCGCCAGGGCCGCGCCCATAGGCCCCGGGAGCCGTCCGTCAGCGCCAGACCCCGCCCCCTCCCGCGGAGCCCCGCCCCGTCTCGTGCGGCGCCGGCCGGAAGGAAGCGGCGCACTTCCGCTCGCCGCGCCGGCCCCGCCCCCGCCCCCGCCCCCGCGGCCCGCCCCGGCGGCCCCTGGGCGCTCGGCCCCCGGCCCGCGAGGTGCCGACTCGGAGCCTCCAGGCCGCCGCCCGCCGCGCACGCGCCCGCCCCCGCCCCGCCCCAGGCCCAGGCCCAGGCCCAGGCCCAGGCCCAGGCCCAGGGGGGCGGCTCCGAGGGGGGCGCCTCGGGACCCACCCCCGCCCGAGCTGCTGGAGGCGGGCGCGCTGAGGGCCCGGCGGGCGGACGGACGCCGCGGGGACGCTCGGGCCTCGCCCCGCCCCCGCCCCCGCCCCTCCCCTCCGCCTCCCCCGGGGTCACGCCCCCTGCGCCCCTCCCCCCGGTCACGCCCCCCCCCGCCCCCCCCGGGGCCACGCCCCCCGCCCCGCTGGGCCCGCGCCCCTCCCCCCGTCACGTCCCCCCACCCCCCCACGCCGCCGGCCCTCCCCGCCTCCCCCGGGTCATGCCCTCTACCCCTCCCACCTCCCGTCTCGGGCCCTCTCCACCTTCCTCCGCCCCCCCTTCTCCCGGTTTGCCCCTCCCCCCGCCTCTGCCCCCAACCTTCACCCCCGGGTCTCGGCCCCCCACTTCTCTCCCCGCCCCTCATCTCCGCCCCCCTCCACCTTCCTCCCCCCACCTGGTCTCGGCCCCCCCACCTTACCCCCCCAGGCTCAGCCGCCCCCAGCTTCACACCCCCCTCCCCGGCGGCCGCCCCCCCCCCCCCCCCCCCCTCGGGCCTGTGCCCGCAGGCACGTGCTGGAAGGTGTTTGCTGACCACGGTGGGAGCACCCCGAGATTCCGTCCCGGGTCTGGCCGCCCCTCCACCTTCCTCGCCCCCCACCTCTCCCCCTCGCCCCCCATCTCCGCCCCCTCCACCTTCCTCCCCCACCTGGTCTCGCCCCCCACCTTACCCCCCAGGCTCAGCCGCCCCACCTCACACCCCGTCCCGACGCCCCCCCCCGTGCCCGGTGCCCGCAGGCACGTGCTGGGAGGTGTTTGCTGACCACCTGCTGGAAGGTGTTTGCTGACCACGGTGTGCGCTCCCCCCCCCCCCCGAGATTGCGTCCCGGGGCGCCCCCTGGTGTCGGGGCGGGGCGGCGCGCTCGCTCCCCTTGCGGGCTCCGGGCCTGTGGCCTTGCCCTGGGGCCTAGAGCGGAAGCCTCGGAGGGCAGGGCCTGAGCCTCGCCTGGGCGCGTGCACCCCAGGGAGCCGCCGGCCGGCGGGTGGGCCAGCCCTGTCTGGGTGACTCTCGTATAGGAACGATCCGGCCGCCGGGTGGGTCCTCCCCCTGCGCACACGGCCCACGTGGCTCGTCCCAACACGGAATAACTTGGTCCCGGGAGCCCTTCCCGGTCACCCCAGTGGGGGATTCTCTCCTCCTCCCTGTGTCTGTTGCTGTTAATAACGAGGACACATTCTGTGCCAACGGGTTGTGGAAGCTGCTGGGTGGCTCTAATAAAAATAAGTGTCAGCTGTCTTTTCAGACGGCATTTGTCATGTTTTGACTTCAGTGTTGGTGTCTTTGATGCTCCGGGTTTGAGAGCGGGGATTATTTGTAATCCGCCTCTTTCATGTCGAGATGCCTTACGTAAAACACATCTGGGCGCTTAATAAATACATATGCGGACTGATGCCTCCTTAAATAGAACTTTTCCCTTTGTGCATGTAGGGTTTTGTCTAAGATTGTGTCGCTCCGGGGGAGAATGTGTGTCTGTGGTGCAATGCGCATCCCCCGAGGAAAGGAAGTAGTGCTCATTAGCAGCTGCTTGTTTTAATAGGAAATGGCTTTACCAGCGAGATAAAGCTTTGAGGCTTAGACAAAGTAGGGAACTGCGGAGAGTAAGGCTCAGGTCAGGGCGCCTGGGTGGCTCGTGGTGGAACATCTACCTTGCACTCGGGGCGTGACCCCGGGGTCCTGGGATGAGTCCCGAGTCTGACCCCGGGGTCCTGGGATGAGTCCCGAGTCGGGCTCCCCGCAGGGAACCTGCTTCTCCCTCTGCCTCCCCCTCTCTGGGTCTCTCTTGAATAAATAAATAAAATCTCTAAAAAATAAAATCAAACGATCCTGACAAGGGTTGGTAACTTGGATTAGGCAATAGAAGGGAGAAGAGTCGGTCAAGTTCTGAGATATTTAGGGCCAGGCCCACCAGGACTCAGGGTTTAGATACACGGATTACACATGATGGGGGGCGGGGGGGGGGAGCCACGTCTGGCTCCTAGGGTTTTCACCTTGAGCAATTAGCTGATTGGGTACGGGGTGGGGGTGGAGGGTGAAAAGCAAGTTTGGGAATAAGAAAAGGTTTATTTTTTTTTTTTAAAGTTGATTTTGTGATGAGTTGGAGATGCTTGCACACGTGGAGGTGTCAACTAGGCAGTGGCCACATGCGACCTGCGGGGCAAGACGTCGGAGCCATCAGGATACGGTCAGTGGAAAGCGGGAGCCGAGGAGCCCGGTAATCGTTGCTTTGGAAAGGAAGAGTTTACAAGAGACGCGAGAGGAACGCTGGCAATGTAGGTGGGAGAGGATGGAGCCCCGGGGAGCCCACAGTCGCAGAGGGTGGGGACCATCAAGAGCCTGAACGAACGTCATACGTCAGCTAGGAAGCAGACCGTCCAGACGGACAGCTCCCTGCCATAGTCCCACGACGGAGGCCCTCGGTGGGAAGGATGCGGTCAGCACCCGTGACCGGGTGACGCGCTTCTCAAAGTGCCATTACCTACAAACAACCCGGGGACCATGTGCACAGGCAGATTGTGGCTCAGTAGGATTTGGGGAGGGCCTGGGATCCCGTGTCTCCGAAGGAAGTCCCAGGTGACGCTGATCCTCGGAGCCCAGGGACACGTGGAACAGCAAGGCTCTGCTGTGGCTCTCAACGTTTACTGAGCACAGACTCGCGCGGACAATGTCCTCAAGCAGATGATTGGGCCCCACCCCTACAGACCAGGATTCCGTAGGTCTGGGGCAGGATCCGATAATTTGCATTTCTAACAACCTCCCTGGCGGTGGTGACGGAGATGCCACAGGTCCCCAAGACCATAGTGTGAACTGCACCATTCTAGAGGACCACGGCCCAGCTGCTGCTGGCCGCAACAGAAAGATCCGTTTGGGTTTCAGAACATAACGCAAAGAAGTGTTCCTGTACACCACTGCAGTCCCTCGGTGACCAGAGCCCGCTCCTCGCATCCATCACCCTGAGCCCCCCAAGTGCCCTTTATTAGGACCATTTAGTGGCCTCCTAACCGATGGCCTAACCTCCATCCCTGCCGCCTGTCCCTGTCCATCCGCCAAGTGATAACCAGAGTGATCCTACTAACGCAGCACTCTGCGGGGGGCTTGGTGGCCTTATATGAAAGTCAAGCTCCTTAACACAGCTTGGAATTACTGCCAGCAGCCTGCCTCCATTTACCTCTTCCAGCCTCACCTCTGCTTCCGGTTCGTAGATTTCTTTCAAGGTTTTTGCAAGCGGGTCCTCGCACTCTTCATCGGACTTATCTGCTATTCCGCCTTTACAGGTCAAATCTTTTTTAGAAAACGTTTATTCATGAGAGACACAGAGAGAGAGAGGCAGAGACCCAGGCAGAGGGAGAGGCAGGCTCCACGCAGGGAGCCCGACGTGGGACTCGATCCCAGGACCCCGGGATCACGCCCTGGGCCGAAGGCAGGCGCTCAACCGCTGAGCCACCCGGGCGTCCCTTTACGTAGTTCTTTAGGACGTATTTCAGGAAACAGTTGCTAGGACTCATATTTTAGATGGTGATAGACACCGGCAAGTACATTCCAGAAAGGTTAACGTTTCTCTTACTCTGCACTTCCACCGACGCATATTACGGTGCTTCTCTCTTCACGCCCTTGCCAGCCGTGGCTGTTGCTGATCTTTGCCAATCTCAGGTGACAAGTGAGAGATCCGTTTAAATGCTGTTTGTGAGGTGAAGACCGTTTGTGGGATGTTTGTGGTCCTTTTGCTAGGATTCGTCCTTTTGTGTTCTGTGACCAGTCATCGATTTAATGTTGATATGAAGGGATTTTTCAGATTATGGGTTTTGGCCTGTAGTCGTACACACACCCTGCAGGCTTTTCCTCACTCTCGTATGCCTCGTCAGGTGATTCGTCAGCAGTTTTCCATTTTTATATTGTCAAATCTATCACCTTTCCTTTATAGCTTCTGGGTTTTCCCATCATGCTTAGGAAAGCCTTTCCCATTGCAAATTGTAAAATTTCAAAAATGCTTTCTTCTAGTTTTTAATATGGGGCGAGATGGGGATGGGACATAATTTCTTTCCAGCTGGTTGCTCGGTGACTTCACCATTGTTCTTTTCTTTTTTAATTTTTTATTTATTTATGATAGTCACAGAGAGAGAGAGAGAGAGAGAGAGAGAGGCAGAGACACAGGCAGAGGGAGAAGCAGGCTCCATGCACCGGGAGCCTGACGTGGGACTCGATCCCGGGTCTCCAGGATCGCGCCCTGGGCCAAAGGCAGGCGCCAAACCGCTGCGCCACCCAGGGGATCCCTTCACCATTGTTCTTAACCTACTGCTTTGATATACTTGTATCACATCCTAAACCCTCTATGTATATCCTATTTGTTAACTCACTACTATGTTTAAATGACTTAAAAAAGGAACTCTATATAACAATTTTACATATTTATAAATACCGTTTCTTTATAGAAAGCTTTGATACTGGCAAGAGCAAGTGCCCCCTTGTTATACGTCTTTTAAGCACATCTTGTTTGTTTGCTTGTTTTTTTAAAGGTTTTTTATTTACTTGTTCATGAGAGACAGACACACAGAGAGGCAGAGACACAGGCAGAGGGAGAAGCAGGACCCATGGAAGGAGTCCAAGGTGGGACT